TACAATTTCCAGAGGTGTGAAAGATGATGTGGGTTTTGATTCCAAAAACTGAATGATTTGATTCTCTCTCTGTAGACGATGGTTGATATAGAACTGTATTTTTTCTACTGGGTTTTCCACAACCGGTCCATGAGATGGATAGATCACCGATGGATTAAGCTCTGCCATTTTTTGTAATGAGGCCATGTATGTGTGGAGGTCATCAAATACCTGTACATAAAGAATTTAATATCTGTCTCCTCCAATATTTCACAGTAATATTTTGTGATCATACAAGCAATTGTCTAAGGTTTCACTGTCATTTTTCTAAGAAATAAATCATTTGATGAGAAATGAATATTACTTAGCTTGTTAGCTAGTTTACTAACTCATAATGGTTAGTCTTACATGTATTTTTTTTTATTCATTGTCTAGATCTTTTTACATCTACATTTTATTAAATGATCTTAGTAAATTAATCCAATCATTTTTATGTCCATCAGGGTAAAATTACTGCTGTATTATTTCCTGAATATTTATTAAATGTAATTTAAAATGCTTACAAACCAAAATTCAAGCTTGATTTAAAAAAAATAAGCTTGTCAGAATTTTATGAAAATGCATGACCAAAAAATGATCAGAACCAAATAAGTTTATGCAAAGATGAAATTATAATTGTATGTCTCAGGATACATGTAGTGTGTTACCAATAAATCAAAAGAGATGAGCATTATACATGCAGGGATGTAAATAACATCCCTGGTATTCATTACCGCTGTAGCTTCTCCTAGGACTGTGTCTCCTGAAAACAGAACCTTGTCCTCTTCTAAAAACAAACAGATATGGTCATCTGTGTGACCCGGGGTAAATATAGTCCTGAAAAAAATATATTAAAATGTGTTACCAGCAATGAGATAAGTGTTACAATGTATTAGGATTAGAACCCAGTGAAGATTTAATACTTGAGTTCAATATATACCCTATTATACATTTCAGGGCAACATACATTTTGTCAGACCCAAGAACCAAATTATTTAATGGTCCTTAAGGCAAACAGTTTGGTTCAAGCTGGGTTAATTGGCAAACAGCATTTTGCCAGAGAACACAGGCAATAAATGCTCCCTGACTTTCAATATTTATACTGATCTATGGATGTCTAGAGTTCTTTTGAATCTTTATATACTGAATATTTTGTCTGAAGGTATATACATGTACCTTAGAGTTGCTCCTTCAGTTTTGAACACATGGTTATCTTCTACAAAATGACAGGGAATGGTTCCCAAGTCGACCTCAGTCTTCTCTGGGGGCCTTCTGAACTTTGATACTCTGGTCTGATTGGCTGAAAAAAATTTCATTATTGGTTTTAAAAAAAAGCACAACAAAATATTAAATGTTTTTAAGATAGTTTTGATCACACTTTTAATTATTGATTAAAGTGTATATATTTCATTGATTTCAACCAGGTAAAAAAGCATGTTTCCAGGTATCAATGTACTTTTTGTTCTACAAAATGAAGGAAGGACCTGCTGGTCCACCACAGAAAGTCTTCGTTCACCCATTCTTACCATTAAATTATTAAAAGTGATAGACTTTTTAAATGTCCAATTTAAATCTGGACAATCTGTATCTAACTAATTATTGATTACAATAATTGGTGGCTATATCCTGTTATCTGCAACGCGTTGCTTATAAGTTTTGGGGTACTTCAACTGTATTTGAAAAGATGAATGGTAGTGCAACATTATCAGAAAATGGAAAATTATCTTTTACGTTTTTACGGAATAAGCCGCATGATTTTAAAGTATCTTAATAACAAACACACTCACTCACAAAAACAAAGCAAAAGAAATGTATTCCCAAAAAAAATCCCAGGAAGTCGCATTTATCGTATTTTACGCTTTTACGGAATAAGCCGCATGATATTATAACTCCTTAAAAACAAACACACACAAAAGAAATAAAAACCCCTTAAATGCAATTATACTTATTAAAGAAAAAGTACCACGAAAACGCAAATTATCGTTCTTTTCCGCTTATACGGAATAAGCCGCATGATTTAAAACCATCCTTAAAAAACAAACACACACAAACTCGAATTCAATAAAACAAAACCCTAAAATGTAGTTTGCAAAGAAAAAGTACCAGGAAAACACAAAATAACACACTCACACCAAAACGAAAGTTAGTAGAGAAAATCGTATGGTATCAATGTTGATCAACTCCTAGAGGAATTCCCCCCACTGCATAAAATTAAATATTTTGTTAATATTCATGATGAAACACGTTTAAATTTTTTTTCATCACTTTAATTTTTGTTAACACAATATGGCTGTTGTTTATTTCGATATTAATTTTTATATTTTGTATAAATAACCTTTTTGGGTTCTACTGAAAAAGCCACATGAAGGACATATGATATACTTGATAAATAACTATTTCTATATCGCTTGTAATTTCCCTTGACTATTTTGTTAACATTCATAGAAATTGTTCTCTTCACTTTCATCTATTTGTAAAAAAAAAAATTTTGACTGTATTTGTTGCGATAGCTATCACATTTTATTTCAATAAATATCCTTTATTATCCTTTTTAGCGATTTTACCAAATTTCTTGCAAGAAAATACATTTTTTTGGGGTTCATTATTTCAACTGAATTATTCAGTTGAAATAATGAACACGTGAATTGAATAAAACAATTTTTTTTAAATATTCGACTATCAAAACCATCTTCCAGGAAAATAGTTCTTTTATAACAGAAGTTTAAACAACATAACAATAAATTTGTCGCCTTATACTCCTGTTATTTGCAACGCTCTATGGAGAAATCGATAATTTTACATGGAGCTTCTGAACCATGCAAAATAAAATAGCACTTTATTCCGTCAAATGTCAATTTTTCTTGATTCTCCCTAAAAATCCAAGCCCATTTTTTCTGATATTAACCCCCAAAGAAACTTTCCCCCTTTTTGTACACTAATATAGTTTCAATAGCAGGAAAAAAAAAAACGTCGCCCTATATATATACTCCTGTTATTTGCAACGCTCTATGGAGAAATGGTATTTTACTATGGAGCGTTGCGGCAACGCATGCAAAATAAAATAGCGCTTTATTCCGTCAAATGTACTCATTTTAGCTTGATCCTTCCAAAATAACCTAGCCCCATTTTTTCTGATATTAACCCCCAAGAAAACCCTCTTCCCGGGGAAACTTCCCCTTTATGTACACTAATATAGTTTCAATGTAAAAAATTTGGCCCTATATATACTCCTGTTATTTGCAACGCTCTATAGAGAAATTGATAATTTTACTATGGAGTGATGCGTGCAACGCATGCAATATAAAATAGTGCTTTATTCCGTCAAATGTCTATATTTTTATCTTGATTTCCCCCCCAAAAAGCCAAGCCCCATTTTTTCTGATATTAACCCCCCAAGAAAACCCTCTTCCTGGGGGAAAATTTCCCCCTTTTTGTACACTTATATAGTATCAATAGCAGGAAAAAAAAAAGTCGCCCATAAACCATGTTATTTGCAACGCTCTATGGAGAAATTGGTCATTTTACTATGGGGCGTTTCTGCAATGCATGCAAAATAAAATAGCGCTTTATTCCGTCAAATGTACTCATTTTAGCTTGATCCCCCCCAAAAAAACCTAGCCCCATTTTTTCTGATATTAACACCCCCCAAAAAAACCCTCTTCCCCGGGGGAAAATTCCCCTTTATGTACACTAATATAGTTTCAATATCAGGAACATAAAATTCGTCGCCCTATATATACTCCTGTTATTTGCAACGCTCTATGGAGAAAACGGTCATTTTACTATGGAGCGTTGCTAACGCATACAATATAAGATAGCGCTTTATTCCGTAAAATGTCTATATTTTTTTTGATTCCCCCCCCAAAAACCAAGCTTCATTTTTTTTATATTTAACCCCCAAGAAAACCCTCTTCCCGAGGAAACTTCTCCTTTGTACTCTTATATAGTTTCGATAGCAGGTAAATAAAATTGTCGCCGTATATATACTCCTGTTATTTGCAACGCTCTATGGAGAAATCGATAAATTTTTCTATGGAGTGATGCGTGCAACGCATGCAATTAAAAACTTTATTGAAATGTCTAATTTTTTTTTTTGATTCCCCCCAAAAAAGCCAAGTCCCATTTTTTTAATTAACCCCCAAGAAAACCCTCTTTCCCGGGGGAAAATTCCCCTTTATGTACTCTTATATACATGTAGTTTCAATAGCAGGTAAATAAAATTCGTCGCCCTATATTCTCCTTTTTTTGCAACGCTCTATGGAGAAATCGATCATTTTACTATGGAGTGATGCGTGCAACGCATGCAATATAAAATGGTGCTTATTCCGTAAAATGTTAATTTTTTCTACCCCCCCCCCCCAAAAAAAAACCAAGCCCCATTTTTTTGATATTAACCCCCCCAAAAAAACCCTCTTCCCGGGGGAAAATTCCCCTTTATGTACACTTAAATATAGTTTCAATATCAGGAAAATAAAATTCGTCGCCCTATATATACTCCTGTTATTTGCAACGCTCTATGGAGAAATCGATCATTTTACTATGGAGCGTTCATGCAACGTTTTCCAGAATCAGAGAAATAATATGATAAATCTGCTTCGTACTTGTAATTTTAATTATTTTTTGACGCCTTAAAAACATTTCCTTATCGTTTCTTTTTTTTCTCAATTATACCTGAATGAATTTAATTTGATAAGGATCGGTATATGTTATTTCAATTATTTTCTGTGGTAAAAAATTTTATGCAACGTGTTGCAAATAACAGGATATAGCCTAATTGGTTAGATACAGTGACCCAAACATCCATTATGAAATTCTTACTGATTCCCATCACAAGTGATTGGTGACTTTTTTGTTTGTCAAGTAATTTTTGCTTGGAAGCTCCCCCTTTCCCCAAATTTTTTAAAACCAGCCCCTTCTCCATTCACTCGTGATGAGTGAAGGAGAGGGGGCTTTTTATGACTGCCCTTTCCCCAAATGTGTATTTTTTTTTTAAATTTTGTGGGGTTTAATTACTCACACTTTGTTACATCCCTGCAGACATCAACAGTTCCCCCTACATGATCTAAGTGCCAGTGGGTCAAGATTATTTCCTGGATTTTAAGCTGGAAGTCACGTAAAACACTCTGGAGATTTTGGATGTAGTTAGGAACATTTGGATCACCAGTGTCAATTAAGATTCTTCTGAAATTACAAGTACTAATACATAAGGAGTTTATCATTCAAGTAACATCCCCTTTAAGGCTTTTTTGAAGAATACAAGTTTCTCCAAATGAACACAGTATTTTGTGCACATAAATATGCACGATAATGTAATAAGTACATATAGGCTAAATTTTTTTCAAAAGGTGTTTTATTAACATTAATCATTAATGGACGTCAAAGGTAGCTTACAAGTTACATCTACCCAAATGTCCTAGGCGTCAACACCAAGAAGTGACAGAAACGTCACACTTTTTCACCTTTTGTATATGATACACAGGGAATAAATTAAATAAGTTTACCTGTCCCCAGTTCCGACTAAATAAGTATTCGTTCCCTGGAGTGTCATTGGATTTGAGTTGCATCCTAAAATTCTAATAACCCTCTCTGACAATTTTTCAATATTAGGAATAAACGACAGTTTTGGCAGTGCCATTTCTTTCACTCAATCCCTGTTGATACTGATAGTCAACGACTTAGATAACCACGTGACTGTCATGTGACGTATTGTGTTTCGTACATTCATAAAAAAAATGGATTAGTTCTGTTCAAATACTTCAGATATAGTATGTTTAAAGAGTGTTTTTTTTCTCTTTCACTAAACAATCAAAGTCACTGATACATTGTGTTTTGTCGTGTCAAACACGCATAGTTACTGCAATGAAGTACGAGTTACTAAATTATGAACGCTACCAAAAATGTCAGCTTCCACGAAGTCCCATTGATTGTTCATTTCCCCTGTTTCCTTGCTGTTATTTGCCTTGTTGAACGTTTCTTACAAATCGTTGATCAATAATTTTAAGACAACATTCATACATCTCTTTAGAACGATGAAAAAAAAATTAAATTAGGGTTTAGATGATGTTCGATGTTTCATATGTCATTTTCAAACGTTTGATTTAGAAGAACCTAACATTGAAAGTAATTAGTATATGTCCATCACAATCTGCTGATATAGGTAATTGCTACATAGCTAAATTGTCTATGTTGTTTTCTATTAAAGTGATCTTTACATGTATACTTCCCAAATATAGTGTAGTTTGTACAACACTACATAGATTTATTTTACTTTAATATGAGTTTTATATAGACCTTTTGTTGTTATGTAGAAAAGTTAGGATGGATGATGAGGATGATGATTTTGGGGACTTTGGTGGATTTGAGGTACGATTACAGTGTATACTACATGTACTAGTACTGATGTCAATACTACATTTATGATATACAAATGATTGTAAATAATATATAAACATATATTTCCAAAAACATTTCCCCATAATAATTGCCACTAAATACTATTACACAGGATCTATTGGCTCTTAAAGGGTTAAACATTAGTCAAGAATTTTTAGTTTTAGTCTTTTCCATGTCTACTAACCTATTGAGGTTATCTTGTATTAAAACTAAAAGATGGGTTCTGCTAAAGCAACTGTTTGTAAGTTGTAATGCAAACTAAGTAATATGATTTTTTTTTTCAATTTAAAAGAAATCCATGAATAACATGGTTTAAACAAAAAATCTTTATGTTTATCTAAATAGAAATTTTACAGGCTGCTGATCCTGGGTTTCCAGTAGTAGACGAGATACAGCCAAGTGTGGAAGCAGGCCCTTCACCCTGGGCAATATTAGACACTGGTAGGGAGTGTCCTAAAATCCATCTCTCTAACCATACAGTAATCAATAAGATAGCCAGTGTTAATGATTGTACAGGGGGTTATCAATAACTTTGTGGACTGATGCCTTTAACATAAAGTTTAAATTTAAAATACCTAAATCCTATTAACGCCCCTGCCCCTGAACCCCGCACCCTCCTAGGTCTTTTTCAATTGTCAGGAAATAAGGGCCCTCTGTACAGCGATTAAAATTAAGAATCGTATCAAAAACTTGAAGAAAGTGAAAATGAAACTTGTTTATTATTCAATTTCTCTGTGGAAATGAATCATTTAGCATAATTTGGGTGGATTATATTCACTTAAAATAAAATTAGACATTATGTTAGTTGTTCTTTGAATTTATTTTTTTTTTCAACAAATGTTTGAAGTTTAAAATATGACATTAAATATTATAAAGAGAGTACCAATATAACCACCCCCTTTTCACAATTCTCTAAGCCCCGGGGGCAGTTACTTGTAATAGGGATTATACGGTACTTTTAAATTTTCAAAAGTCAGTTTTAAGTCATTCATTCGACATAATCTTTTCTCACTCCGGAATAAACTACAAGACATACAATTATCCACGAATAAATTGTCAATGTTTTGATAAGCTTTGTTATGACCATGCAATGCAACCTCAGAAAATGTATTTCTGCTAAGGGGCTAAAGGAGATGAATCTTTGGATACATTTGTACATATAATCATTTGTGTCAAGTTTTACTTAATTTTAAAGTATAATGTAATTGTAAATTTTATCATAAATTTATTCAAAAGTGCTGATAAATTAATGTTTTAAAGATGCCGGAACAGGGGGTGTCTCTTCATTAGTGTTTCATCATTCACTGAAACTTAAATAAAGTTCATCTATCAAAGGTTCCTTTTATCTCTTCAGCTTCTCGGAGTCAGGTTGGAATGCGACCAGACCTGTTATGTGTTCAGAACCAGTTTCCCCCAGTGTTGGATCCAACAGTTCCAACCCAATTGTCCAATGGAGATGTGACGAACAATCAGGGACCGGCAACACCCCCTCAGGAGTTACCCCCAGCCCTGGACAGTCCAAATAATGTAAATTAAAGATGACTGATTATATTCCAGTTTTATACATTGTAACTTTTAAAGTGCCAACAGAGTAAATGTTCTGTCACTAGTATTACAAACTACATACATGAATGATTTACTATTTAGTCATTTATCTTTAAAAAAATTAAAATAATTATATATTTATATTGCTCTATAGAATGCAGCATCCCTCGTAAATGACATTCTGGATGGTAGTTTCAACAGAGCAACAGAGCCTAATTCTCAGAATTCTCATCCAAATGAAGAAGCTAGTGCCCTCCAAGTACCTGACATTCAGGAAACTAATGGCACAGAGACTAACAACTCTGAAACATTCCAATCCCATAATTCTCAGTCAGGAACAAGTGATGGGGCTGCACTGCCAGTCCAGAGACAAGACGCAGCCGCTCAACCGGAACACAGCAGCTCCTCCCAGCCATTCAAGCTTAACACATCTACAACAAAAGATAACAATATAAGATTGGGAGGGGGACAAAATATTGCTGAGATTAAAGTTCCTCAGAAACCAGACACTAATAATATAGTGCCCCCTGTTCTTTCTCATGTAAGTTCTTCATTGGGATCACTCTGGATCTGTTAATAGGACATCGTGCCAATCAGTTACAAATTGAAAATTAAATAACAAAAATTCCATTTTTTAAAAAAAATTTAGGTTTGAATGATTTGATGGTCCAGTTTCATAAATTATATTATACAGTAGACCATTTTTTTATACTTTGAGATTATGTTTAATTAATAGGATGCTCAGCCTGTTGAACAACAACTGAGTCTGAGGCAAATTCAGCAGGAATCTTCAGATGCTGTCAGAAGTGTTGTACAGGAATACAAGGTATAATGTAATGTTAGAAATATAGTTCTCTCTATATATAGCAAATAAACATGGTGATTGTTAATGGATGTTTGTCAGTTTGAAAAAGTGCTTTATCCCCTGACGTATTTGTTTAGATGAAGGTACATGTATGTAGAACTTCCTTTAAAGATGACATTTAGCAGAATACTGCTTGCTATAGTACATGTATATAATCTCCAAGTACACTAAATATTCCTATCTTGTCAGACCTTGGTGCAGTCCAGCTTACAGAATCATCAAGAGTCAGTCAACAACCTTCTCCAGAAAAACGACAAAGAGAGACAACTCCAGTTAGAATTAGCTATAACTCAGCAGGTACTCTAAACTTTTGACAGCTATACAAGTGTTAATCAATTGTATTTACGTATTGATCAATCATTTCATCCATAACAGCATCCTACCCTACAGATGGTTTGTGTTTTAGAATAAAGACATGGAAGCAGCTGTACAGGAAATGAGACAAAGCCTCAAAGAAGAACTGGAACGTATTGCTCAAGAATCCATTCACACTTTTAAGGTGAACAAATTTTGTAGCTCATGTTTTTAATTGACATATTTCTTCTTCAAAGGTTTGATTTTTAAAAGAAGACCTTGTTTGTTTTATTGTCCAGACAATTGTTCTGATTTGTTCTTCAGGAGGAAATGAAGGAAACATTAGAAGAGGAGAAGAAACAGATACAGGAAGAAATGCAATCAGAATTACAGGTTTAAATAAGTTTACGACATATTGTTTTAGGTTACACTAATACAATCTCTTGAATCAAAAATGTATTGATATAGACAAATGTAGTGTAATATATGTATAGTAAAACAGGCTAACAGGCTTTTGATGAAGTGATTGTCATTCCTTGTATCTTTAAAATACATAATTATATATTGTAAACTTAACAGATTTAATGAATAACACTTATAATAAAGTTATAAAATGAATCAAAATTGTCATTTCATTATAAATCTGTTTATCTGTATAAGGAATTATGCAGAGACATATTTATTAATTTGTTATTATAAACTTAATATTTTCAGAAGGAAAAAGATCGTATTAATTATCTTGTACAGGAAGCAGTTTCAGCTGAAAGGGAACGAGGTGCACAACAATTGACAGAACAAAAGGTAACTATAGTTATTTCTTGTTTTCTAATCATTTCATGACATCTTTATGTTTTAAATTCTGTACAAGCATAAAAACTCATCCTGGCTACCTAATTCATAAAAAATACATGATGCATGAAAATGAAGGTTTGAAAATAAATTGAAGTAGATGCTAGACTCTATGCTGGGATGATTTTATTAAGCACTGTGCATTGGTTTATTCAATACAGGATCAATTCCTTCAGCTTATTGAGGAAACAAGACAGCAATCTCTGAGTCAAACCCAGAATTTACTGGAGCAAGAAAGGAAGCAGTTTCAGGTAGGCACTATTAGGGATAGATCTAAAAGCACACAAATTGTTTATGATTGTAAGAAGTTATTTAGGAGTTCGAGAAACAAATAACATCTTCCTTTGGCGAGTTTATGTATGTCGGACATATTACTCCTCTCTACGTATTAATTTGTAAAGGTGTAGACAAACTTGTATTTAATTTTAATGTATTATAGAACAGCTTTATAATTATATAAATATATATGCAGAAATATATTCCCCTTTCTCATAATTTGATGTTTTTAATTTCAGGAAACGCTTAAGAAGCATATGGAGGAAGAGAGGAAATCTCACAAAGAGTCTATGGATTGTGTTATTGAGTTTGCCAATCAAGAAATGCGGACATATCTTCGGGAGAATCGGCAGGTCAGCTAGATTTCGAATACGGTGTTTTAAGTCCTGTCATCTGATACAGGAGTTTGGTTCATTTGTAAATGAATAATTGTCATACAAGAAGTTTAAAAATCCTTCTCTTGCAATT